GGGGGGACTCCGCAGTGGCAGGAGGGGTTGTTTGTGTTCTCATGTACTTGTGCCGCAGACCTGTATACTTTAAAATGGCAAACGAGAAACAGGAGCTGTCCCTTCCCTCCCGCCACAAGGACAGAGCGCTGCCAGGCCCGTACATCACCGCGGGCCACATCAGGCAGGTCCGCACGCCAGCACCCTGCCCCCTCCCGCCCACGAGGAGGCGCCACCGGCAGCGGTGGCCTGGGGGGCTCAGCCCAGGGCCAAGCTCCCCTGAGGCAGGGCTCTGCTAAGGGCAGCTCAAACCCACAGGCAGACAAACACCACTCAAGGGCCAAAAAATCAAAACAAAAAAAGTGGATGGGGTGTCACAGATACACCAGCAAGTACATGCGTAGGTCAGAAATAAATCTTCCAGAAAAGTCAAGACCGCATCGGAAAACGTGCTTCTTGTTGCTCAGATAACAGGAAGACAGCACCTCTATTACAAAAATTTAAGTGACGCACCAAAGTGAACACAGGATGAAATGAAGAAAAGTTAAAATACAAGCAAGAAAAGATAAGTGGGCAATGCCGCCTCCGCCTTGACAAGCCTGGGTTTCACCCCTTAAAGCACACGGAAGCCCGCGGCCACCAGAGCAGGGAGGGGGGCTGGGCGCAGACGCCTTTCCACAAGCTCAGTTTCTACGAGCACATCCGTCCTCACGAGGTCACGCAGGGGCTGCCGAAAGGGCTGGATTTAATGAGATGGTGTCCACTTCAAAGTGTCCCCAAGCCACTGGAGCGAGCACCTCAAGCGTCACGTGAGCGCTACGGCGGCAGCTCCCACCAAGCGCAGCTGTCCCCCTCCCACTGCCAAAGGGGGTGTCTCACAGCCATCCATTCGTGAACTCCCCTGAGCCCAAGCCGGGGGTCAGTATCGCCACGCAGTGCTGGGAAGCTGCGTGCTGTGCTGGCCTAGGTGTTACAGGGCTGAGAGGCAGAGTCCTGCCCCAGTGGCCCTACCTGGGACAAGTGGGTACACACATGTGACAGAGAGGCGGTGGGTCCCCACCTCAGACCACATCAAAATCAACTCAAAATACGTAAGAGTCAACATAAGAGCTAAAAGTGTAAAACTGTTAAACAAAAAAGGCATAGGTCTTCCTGACCTTGGACCTGGCGATGAAAGTTTCTTAACTAAGACAGCCAGAGCACAAGCCCAAAAAACACGCAGACCAGACTTCGTGCTGAAAGGGTGTGTGCACCGGAGGACGATACTGAGTGAAAGACAACCCGAGTGAGGGCGTGTCTGCAAGCCCTAAACCTGATAAAGTTCCAGTGTGCAAAATACTTAGCACATAGGGAACTCCTACAACCCAGCAGCAAAAGCACAGCCCCACTCAGAGTTGGCAATGGAAGAGACGAGCCCTTTCTCCACAGCCGGCGGACCCCCAAGATCACCCAGCACCGCTGGTCGGTGAGGACATGTAAACCAAGTCCAGTCCACCCGGCCGGATGGCCACATCACAAGGGAAAACTAAGAGAAATAAAGAGTGCTAGCAATTCCGTTAGAAATACAAACTGCAGCCTTTGTGGGAAACAGTTTGGGGTCCCTCCATTAGGGGAACAGAGTTGCCCGGCAGTTCGACGCCCAGGCGAACACCGAGAACAGGTTCGTGCTCTGACAAAACGTGCTCCTTCAGCTAGCTCTGATCGCAGCAACTAGCGGAGAAAAGAGACTCAAAAAGCTGTCA